ATTAGGCATAGCCTGCCCTATAGCATGGTGTATTTTTATTTGTTTTGTTAATAAAAGTTCTATGTTTTATATATAAGCTAAAGTGAGTTTGACGTTGTATTTTGTTGTTGCATTCAAGAAATTGATGCTGAACTGCCGCTAATTCGAAAGTGAAAGTAAAATATGCACAGCGCTTTTAACCTATTTAAAAGCGAAGGAAAGCAAGGAAAAGAGGGAAAATTCAAACGAACTAAAATCAATCCACTCAGCGTGCTTTGTTTATCAGCTCGCGCACACCAGCTATACAGGCGTTAATACTGAATGTTTAACATTATATTCATTGCATACATATACTTCGTAGTAGACATCCTTAACTCTTTTCTGCTGTCTGTTGTTCTGTTGTCTGTGTTTCTTTGTTTGAATATGGCGCTTATCACATGCTGTGTGGTATCGGCATTTGGTATCGGGGCATTTTAACGAGTACGAGTACAGGAGACCAATATCGGGCCCGATACCGATACCAGTATCAGTGCATCCCGAGTTCAAACAACTTGTAAAAGCATCCTATGACCCCTTTAAAACACCTTTATGATGGATTTGTTTCTTATAAACACGCAACTTCTCACTTCACAAGCTGTTAACTGATGGACTGGAGTGGTGCGGATTACTTGTGGATGATTGTGATGCTTTTAATCAGCGGTGTGCACCCTTATTCTGACGGCACCCATTCACTGCAGAGGATCCTTTGGTGAGCAAGTGATGTGATGCTACATTTCTCCAAATCTGTTCCCATGAAGAAACAAACTCATGTTTATCTTGGATGGTCTGAAGGCAAGTAAACTTTCAGCCCATTTTCATTTTTGGATGGACTATTCCCTGAAGTGGAACTCAAATACTGTTTTTCCAGGCATTACCTTGATGAACTCGCTGAAGGAGATACACATGTCTCCATTAGTGTCAGCTTCCTGGATGGTTCTGTCTGCAATGCTTCCAAGTTGCTCGTCAGAAATATTCACGCCTACCATCATTCTCAGCACCTGCAAAACAAGCAAGTTTGAGTCTGTTTTATTTTTTATTTTTTTACATTATTATCTGGTGCCATCCAGTGGCTCAACAGAAGACTGCAATTCCCTATGCATGCACTTTTTCAAATTACTTGTTTCATTTGAAATCAAATTTGTTTTGATCTCCTGAGGTTCAAAAAGATCATCTACTGGAACAAAGTTGCAAAAAAGGTTCATACTGGATTTTATAATGTTATAAATCTGAATAATTAAAATACGATCATGACATTTCCATGCCTATTCAGTGTTGGCCCAACCAGTGATAGTAAAATAATACAAATAGATTAGATACTATTATTTATATTACATCAGTCGCATTGCATATCCGTTAGAATTCCAATTAGGGATGCACAATATTGGATTTTTGCCGATATCCGATAATTTTCAACTCATTTTGGCCGATAGCCGATATATAATTATTTTTAATTTTGGTTAGTTTTTAACAGGAACTTATTTGTTAGAATTAAATAAACAATAATAAAGTTATTTTATAATGACTGTACATTGAAGATTTGAAAATAACTATAAATAAACTATATATTAATCACTATCAAAGATAGAAAGATGCAGTGGTAACCTTAACATTTTATTTTATGATAACATTTGTAAATGGTCTAAAGCAAAAGAGTTGTAAAAATTCTGAAAATCTTTTAGAGCTCATAATTTGTTTAAAAAATATAACATATTAGAATAAATCAGTAGGTATATATAAAATTATTTCATTTAAGTGTCATGTTTGTGATTTATTTTTTTTTGTTCAAGTAAGCTTTAGATTCTGACCTTTAAATCAAAACACACTCATGATTTTAGGGCATCAATTACTGTCTAATATCTAAATATTATTTGTGTATTTTGCTTTCATTTTATTAGAAGTAGGCCAACAGTGCCCCCTACGGAAATTAAAACTCCTTACTGAGCGGGCATTAGGACCCGGGGGAGGCTGCCGCTGCACGTTCTATTACTGTTTACTCTATCATACACCAAACGCCGTCATTCTGTATGTGCTTTCTCAGTTTAAATGCAGCGATCCAAAACAGTGAATCTAATCATCATTCAGGCAAAATTTTGGTTCAAGAATGAGCCACAATGTTGACGTGATCTAATCGCTTGCACACCGTGAGCACATGTGAGTTAATGTATTCCTCTCATCGGCAAGACATATCGGTATAATTTTTCATAATTTTTCATATCGGGCCGATGCCAATATTTAAATTTAAAGCCATTATCGGTCATTCCGATATTGATCCGATAATATCATGCATCCCTAATTCCAATGTTAAAAATGAGTGGCTGAAGTTTATTTTTTTAACAATATCTCTATCTGGTTTGATTTGTGAATCTATGAAAATGTATAGAAGCTTTACAAAGAGGCTTTTTTTAAAAAGATGGGACAGTTAAAAACTATTTTGAGAAAGACAAAGTGGAGCAAAGTGTTGTTTATTATTTTATATGTTGAGAAAAAAATTATGTGTCATTCTAATGGTCTTACAGTGGAATAAAGTCACGAAAAAAACTATGCGACAAAAAGAAATCCAACTATAAACAATAAAAAAAATACATAATTAACTTGACAGGGTAAAAATAAAGAGATTTGTTAAGTTAAATAAATATCCCCAACAGAAATCAGTAGAAGGATAAGCATTCCCACAGGCTTGTGGAAAGATTACACACTGTTAGGATAATTCAGAAGCATTTTGTAGCTACATTAACATTAGTGTTCATTGATTACATAATGGTAAACATTTCATAGGTTTGTTTTCTTTGAAAATCTAGTACTATGTACAAGCATAGAGAAATCCAGGTTAAAATATAATAGTAGAATTTTTTTAAAAATAATTTCCATGTTTGAAAGTGAAGTAAAAATAACATATCCCTGAAATACCAAGCATTAATTCTATTTTACATGTTTGATAGGAAAGTAAAAATAACATATCCCGAAAGTCCCATGAATCTGATCTTCTGAAATCCAGCTGCAATGGGGTTTCCTAGTCTAACAGAGTGACTTCTGTGAATATGAATAGCTGGCTTCAGATGGCAAGGTCAGTTGAGTCAGTGCTTCATTGTTCAGACGGTACAGAATGTTCTTTTGTCTCTCGTGTCAGAGCTGGGTGCAGAGCTTTTCTGTTGTACATTAAGCACGATTCTCTTACCTGTAGCAGCTCGTCTCTGGAGATCTTGTCGTCTCTGTCAAGGTCATATAACCGGAAAGCGACTGCAAAGAAATAAGAGAAAACCACAATATTATTAAAAGTCGCAACACTTTATGCTAGATGAACTCATTGCAAGGCCTGGTAGCAGAGAACAGGTTTCTGAAGCAGAGATTAAAAGCAGCTAAAGCATGTTTTAGAACATCATTAAAAACAGCAAGTACGTTTAAGACCAGGATCAGTTCAAGCCCTTTGTTTCCCTTTGGAAAATGACATTTCACCTGCTTTTAAATGCTTTGAAGTTACTATGATGGATTGTCCCATTCTTAATATCTGGTTGGTCAATATTTATTAAATTTGTATTTTCTAAATGGATATTTTATTTGACCATTAAATGCCCAAAAAGGCACTAAATGAGTTTTACAATCATTCCTTGTCTTGAGACTTTTTAAACTTAACAGGAAAAATGGCATTTGAGATGGTAAGTTCAATTCTGATTCTGCACTCTGATTCAGTAATTTGTGTTTATCACTCAAAGCATTTAAATATGTTCACAGAGGTCCCTCACCAAGGCTGCATTCATTTGATTTAAAATGCAGTAAAAAATAATATTGTAATATTTTTACAGTTTAAAATAACTGTTTCCTATTACAATATGTTTTAAAAGGTAATTTATTTCTGTGATGCAAGGCTGAATTTTCAGCATCATTACGCTAGTCTTCAGTGTCACATGATCCTTCAGAAATAATTCTAATATGCTGATTTGCTGCTCAAGAAACATTTCTTATCATTATTAATATTGACAACAGTTGTGCTGCACAATATTTTTGTGGAAACAAACAAAAACCTGACATTAATATGAGAAGTGTTTGAGTACACACACACACACACACACACAGACTTTAAAACTGATGTTATGTTTACTAAGATCCACACTAGTTGTTGACTGCTGTGGTTTTAATCTCTACAGGGCCAGACATTGCCCCACACAAGCTCCCTGATGCCTAAACATACTCTGTCCTACTTTAGACTCATGCTTTACAATGTTTTTCACAGTGGTTTCTTCATACTTTAAGGAATTTGAGCCCATGGTAACATTCAAACACGTGAACCCAAATAAACCACGAAGAAACCAAGAACTTATGTGACGCCACCCACATGCTGTGTGTTTTGACAGAGTAATGATAGAGTTTGCAGAAGTTACTGAACATTATATCATACAGTAACATTATTAGAGCCAAAAATTCACACTGATATGGAAACTACATCCTCTGAGAAATGCAGATGAATCTTATGAAAGCGGTCAAGATTTTTCTCCCAAAAGCAAAACAACAACAAAATCTAAAATTATTTTGCATAGAAAAATGAAAGCTATTTTTACATTTTAAAAACATAATGCACTGTGACATTTTCATCACTTCTAACCATATTTTCCCCCATTTTCATGTAATGTCTTGAAAAAAATTACACTACTGTTCAAAAGTTTGAGGTCAGTAAGTTTTGTTTATGAAATGAATACTTTTATTCAGCTAGGAAGCATTAAATTGATCAAAATTGACAGGAAAGACATTTTTTAATGTGACCAAAAAAAAAAAAATCTATTTCAAATAAATGCTGTTCTGTTGAACTTTCTATTCATCAAAGAATCCTGAAAAAAAAAGAATCATGTTTTCAACAAAAAACAAAAAAAAAAAAGCAGCACAACTGTGTTCAACATTGATAAGATTTTTTTCTTGAGCAGCAAATCAGCATATTAGAATGATTTCTGGAGGATCATGTGACACTGAAGCTTTGCATCACAAAAATAAAATAAATTTTAGAATAGATTTAAATAGAAAGAAGTTATTCTAAGTTGTAATAATATTTCACAATATTACTGTATTTATATTAAATAAATGCAGTCTTGGTAAACATAAAAGACTGTAGTGTGTAAATTATTTATAATATTAAATATAATATTTCTATTTATAATTAAAACTTATTTGTCATGAAAACAATGTCACAATGCAAAAAAAAAAGAAGAAAGAAGTTAAAATAAGATTCATTTTATTAATCCAAAATTTAACTGATTAATTATTTTATTATTTGTTTTTTGGCTTTTGGTGTGAAATACAGACACCTATTTCTCATTTTAATATTACCAAATTTTGTCTTTCTTTTCCATTTACTTATATTTCATAGTTTTCTTCAATTTATGCACCTTGTTGTACACTTGTTGTTCTTTGTACAAGCAGAAAAAAAGTATTAAATCCAATCCGTGTCCGTGTGTATACAATATACTATAGTGGTGTAATAAAAGATCACTCTGACGTTTCAAATGTCTTATGAGATGTTCCTCACCCCTCTGGGAAGAAGGCATTAATTATCCGATCACCAAGAGGATTTATGGCCAACTCAGGAATCCTCTGGAAGTCTTCTCGGCTGAGGTGGAGAAAAAGAGAGAGAGGGAGGGGTTATTATGCGTTTCGGATGAGTTTCAGGTTTTGCACACAGATGCCCCTATGGAATTTAGGTGGTGTTACACGTTACTCTATTCAGAACATGCTTTCCTGTAATGAAGTAAGGCAAGGCAAGGCAAGTTTATTTATATAGCACATTTTGTACACAATGGTAATTCAAAGTGCTTTACATAAAAGAAAGTAAAATAATCATAAAAAAAAATAATAATCACAAAAATATAAACAAATATTTATAAAGGAATTTAAAAACTTTGAAGATGATTTAAAAATGGATTTAAAATGAATTTAAGACAGTTAAATATAAAATGATTATACATACATAAAATACAGAGCAATCAGTTCGGACATCGCACAGTGCTCATTCAATAAATGCACAGCTAAACAGATGAGTTTTGAGTCTAGATTTGAATGTGACTAATGTTTTAACACATCTGATCTCTTCTGGAAGCTGATTCCAACTGTGGGCAGCATAATAGCTAAAAGCGGACTCCCCTTGTTTTGTGTGAACCCTTGGTATTTCTAACTGACTTAAGGCTAGGTAAATCTGGGTATCATCAGCATAGTTGTGATAGGCAATTTGGTTCTTTCTCATTATTTGACTTAGTGGGAGCATATACAGGCTAAACAAGAGCGGTGCAAGAATTGAGCCTTGTGGGACTCCGCATGTCTTGGATGTCCACTTAGACTTATGCTCTCCTATACTCACATAATAACCTCTCCCTTCTAAGTATGACCTGAATCATTTGAGTACCATCCCAGATGGTAACGTGACAGACCATCCTGTTTTTAATAATACAATGATTATTCTTATAAAAATGTCTTTCTTTAATAAAGAGCCGTTTTCCCTAGTGAAAAGTAAATCTGCTGAAACACCTGACATGGTTTGTTTGTTTTTAGGCTTGCTGCTTTAAGCCAGTAAGTTTTTATTTCAGCTTGCACACGTCTCTCTGTGCTCTTGGGTTGTCATTGGATCATGTAATGTGTAATAAAGCAGGAAAGCCCATCCCTAATTCTGTGAAAATGGGACTTGTTAAAAGGATACTTTGACGTCTACCCTTTTATAAGGCTGATATGAGCAATAATGAATATGATTACTGTGCAGACAGCTCAATTAGAACTCTAATCCCATTACAATAAATGAAAAGGCAGTTTAGTAACGGATTATTTCTGGGAGTAACCTTCTTAGGCACAAGGAAAGTCATGGAGTGTCCTCCACATTCAGAGGACACACACCTCACCCTGATTTCTGAGACTATTTACTGTTCTCGATCTCAGTCTGACAGATGTTTAGGGTGACAACACGTACAGCAGGTCATCAACACTGTTAAATTTTTTATACTAACCATATCACTGAGGATGTTTGTTGAACTGACCATCATCTCAGCTGGTTTCAAACCACAGAGGATGTTGCCATTTAAAACAAACAATTATAACAAGAACACAAACTGTGACTTCAGCATATTTGGCAAACAGATTGAGTTTAGTTTCATAAGACATGCCACAAAAATGCTTTACAAAAGTGTCAGTTTCCAAGTACAAAGTTGAAGTTGGGTAATCATACACTACCATACAAAAATTTGCGGGGTTTGTTTTTGAAAGAAGTCTCTTATGCTCAACAAGGCTGCATTTGTTTGATCAAAAATACAGTAAAAACAGGAATAATCTGAAATATTATTACAATTTAAATAAACTGTTTGCTATTTGAATTTGTTGTAAAATGTAATTTATTCCTGTGATGCAAAGCTGAATTTTCAGCATTATTACTCCAGTCTTCAGCGTCACATGATCCTTCAGAAATCATTCTAATATGCTGATTTGCTGTTCAAGAAACATTTCTGATTATCATCAATGTTGAAAACAACTGTGCTGCTTCATATTTTTGTGGAAACTGTGATGCATTTTTTCAGGATTCTTTGCTGAATAAAACAACAAAACAAAAGAACAGCATTTATTTGAAATAGAAATCTTTTGTAACATTACTGGCACTTTTAATAAATTTAATGATCCTTGCTGAATAATAGTATTAATAAAAAAAAAAAAAAAAAAAAAAAAAAAAAAAAACAAGTACCGACCCCAAAATTTTGAATGGTGGTAAAGTTTTGAAAAATTCTCTAGCTTCACTAATTTACAGCTCATGCATACTACTTGTGGTTTGCATTTTGTTTTAATCCAAGGCTCGACAATCACTAGCCCGACGTCCCGGGGCTATTTTAAATAGTGATATAAAATTCCTTCCTTGATTCGTGTTGTTCACTCTCTTGTAGGGGTGAAATGGATCGTAGTTGATCATTTGCACATGTTTCTAAGTCTTGCCGATTTAAACATTCAAGCGCTTATTCAAAGAATATATTCAATTTGGTACAATTTGGTTTTGTGTTCGTACAAACACAGAATTGATTCATCTTTCACGTGTAAATGGACAAATACACACAAAATTATCATCTCGACAATCATCTCCTGCTGGTCCATAAGCGCCACCTGCTGTCAGTGACATTCGCATCTCATTCGGCCCATCTGCTGTTTTTGTTTAATGCAGATGTTTTATTTCATATAGTTTCACAAAGCTAAAGTCAGACCATTCTTATTTTGCTTCAAATTTCGAAATTATACAATCTAAACGACAAGTATTTAACATCTTTGTTTGGTTTGTACTTAAAAATGAGTGGTTGGCTCTGATTTTAAATGGAAAGAGCACAGGCAAAGCCTTTGTTTATATGAAGAGATCTCTTTTATTTGTATTATTTATTTGATTTTGGGATTTGTTTTAAAATTTCAAGTTAGTTTTATTATTTGACAAAGAAATGTGCAGCATTTTGTCTATAAATAATAAAAAGGACACCTTTTCATTTATAATTTGTCTTAAATCTCATTTTGTTAAAATAAATTTTGAGAAAAGTGTATCGTGAAAACAGTATCATGAATCGTATCGCATTGTGAATTGAGTGAATCGTTACATCCCTATAGTTTTTGCTGTGGTATCGAAGTAGTGTTCTTTAAATAATGTAAAGAACCAATTTTTTTGCTCACCCGAAAAATGATCCAATCTGTCACTTAAAATCTGTAATATGATCCGAGCCTGATTTTTGTGATCTGTTGCACACCTACTCTCTTGTTATTTGAGGAAATTATACAATCACTGAAGTTTTTGATCATACTGATTTGTCCGCAGCGAAGTTCAGCCGACGTCTTTTTTATTCATGCTAGTTAAATTCATTTTGGATTACCAAAATCTGAAGAATTCCAGCCCGCAGGGCTACCAGGAATTTAGAAATTGTGCGAGCCCTATAATCCTTAATTCTTTATGATAGAAACAGCACCAAATTCATTAGGTTTTTTTTTTTGTCAAATGCACAACATTAGAACATATTGCAATACTTGTGGACAATGTGTGTGATAAATGTGCTAGAAATGCACTATTAATGCTGCATTTACCACTAAGTTTAAATCATCACTACTGTGCCACTGCTTTTGTAACAACCTTTCATCGATCATAATCATAGAGTGTACAGAGGTCACTCCGGTTATGAGGACACACACAGAAGACATTACGCAAACGACTTTAGCACAAGGAAATACTTGCTTCATAACTGTCCTTGAGTTCCCTCTTTTACAAGGAATATTTCAAATAAAAGTCATATTTTTAGCAGTGTAATAGGAAAAAGTCTTTCGTCGTAGTCAAAACTCAAACACTGATCTAGTCATTCCTTAACATATTAACTTACAGAGCCTGAGGCTGGTATGAATGTTTACCAGAGCGCTGAATTACATTGAAACTGAGACGATCAAAGGATGTTCTTTAAAAGCGAGCATGCAGACATAACCCAGCTGCTTGAGTAATATCTGCTTCCTCATGGGCCAAACAGTGTTTCAACAGCTCACCGTTAAAGTTCATTATTACTCAACTCATCTAACACAGTGCATGTCGTACCTGAGCGCTCCGTTCTCTCCTTTATCGAGACTGTGAAAGCGGCTGTAGAGGCGAGTGATCTGACTGTGGGAAACTGGAACACACAAACACAGCAAGGTCTGGTTAAGGACAGTGAGCATTCAAGTCACAGATGTGATCATCAGATTGACAGTACTGGTTGAAAGCTTATCAGAATGACCCAACACACTAGACAAGAGATAGTGAGCATCGTATATCACGGAAGAGTTATCACAATTTAGCCCAAAAAATTGTAAAGAAATTAATATAACTGGAACATCTGAAAACAGAAAAGCTGCTTTGGCACAGTATGCATTCATGGAAAGTGGTACAAATAACCCATTGTTTTCCTATTTTACCACATTAAAGCCAATTACTGACCACATCAGTGGAACATCTTCCACAACAAATCAGACTTTGATCAACAGGGCTTAGAGTAAATGAAGTGAATGAATGCAGAACCATCCCACATGATGAAGGAAATCAAGTTCAGCCAAGAGTTAAAATCCAACTACATAAAGAGAAACAGTGTGAAATCCTGGCTTCTGCCCCGTAGGATTTCACACCAGAGGACGAGAGTGAAAAAAAAAGACAATTACAAGAAGGAGAGCACTTAATGTGGCTTTAAAGGAATGTAGTAAAATCTGGGCTCACAAACACGTAAAAAAAAGGTCATGTAAACACATGCGTACAAGTCTTGGCATTTGAAATGAGGAAATATTAACAGCTATTCAAAACATCTAAAAGACCGTCTGCAGACCTTTTGAGCTTGGTTTATGTGGTCTGCAAAATAAAGACTAACATATAACCTATACAGCTCCAATAATGCATAAACCATATCCCCAGTCTATTTCTAGATGTTGTGGGGGTGGACGTTTCTCTCCCTGTGGTTCATCAGTACAGAAGGCCGAAGCACTGAGACAGCAGAGACCGGAAAATGCTGCTTTTCTTGGCCCTCATACCAATTATTCACAAAAGATTTTGTAAACCTCTAATTACAGTTGCAGGTGTAAATGGTGTCATTAAAATCTAATTATTTTCATCAGTGCAATCAGAGATGCTATAGAACAATTTTGGGTTTCCCTAAGAACGTTTCAGTGAACAGTTCTTAAAAGAACCATATTTTTTTTATTAGTGTGAAGAACATTTTAATAGTCAGAAGAAACTTTTGTGCAATGGGAAGATTCCATAGACACTAAAAGTTCTTCATGGAACAATATTATTTGATGTATAGCCTTCTTTAACCTTTTTTTGATTAAAATAAAGCATGTTTAAAATAAAGCACGTTTTCCTGTTCTGTTTTTCGCTAAATGAACACGAAATACGTTTATGCATTTTCCATTATTATAACACCAATATTACAAAACATAGCAATGAACAACCATTTAAACACATAAAAACATGTCACAAGGGACTTCTTTGTACATTTTTGAGTAATGACACAAACAAATAATCAAATCAGATATCTTTTAATATATAACCCAGCCCTACACACTTAAATATAATGGTTCTGTAATGGCCTCTATTATTACTATCTGTCTCTGTATATAAAATCAACTGTCTTACAAAGAATCGTATGCATTCTTCCTTCGGAGACACTTTTCTGAAACACATTTCCTTGTGTTCATTTAGTGAAAAACAGCATTGAAAACATGCCCTGATTAATTTTTACCTAAATATACCAACATTTTAAAAACGCCCTGATTATTTTACAGCTTACCGATTATTTTATTTGCATCTGTCAAACATTTTCAATCTATTATGCAAAATTGCGTATTAAACAGCAATGTATACAGTAAAGCTTGTTTATATGTTCTTCCCTCTGAGACACTTTTTCAGTGACAATGAACCAACTCTGACACTCAAACACAACAGATATTCATCTGTGGCCCCTCAATACACATACACACACCCCACTCATATCACAGCACACACACACACCAGATCATCGAAGCATGTTTAAAATAAAGCACGTTTTCCTGTTCTGTTTTTCACTAAATGAACACAAGAAATACGTTTATGCATTTTCCATTATTATAACACCAATATTACAAAACATAGCAATGAACAACCATTTAAACACATAAAAACATGTCACAAGGGACTTCTTTGTACATTTTTGAGTAATGACACAAACAAATAATCAAATCAGATATCTTTTAATATATAACCCAGCCCTACACACTTAAATATAATGGTTCTGTAATGGCCTCTATTATTACTATCTGTCTCTGTATATAAAATCAATTGTCTTACAAAGAATCGTATGCATTCTTCCTTCGGAGACACTTTTCTGAAACACATTTCCTTGTGTTCATTTAGTGAAAAACAGCATTGAAAACATGCCCTGATTAATTTTTACCTAAATATACCAACATTTTAAAAACGCCCTGATTATTTTACAGCTTACCGATTATTTTATTTGCATCTGTCAAACATTTTCAATCTATTATGCAAAATTGCGTATTAAACAGCAATGTATACAGTAAAGCTTGTTTATATGTTCTTCCCTCTGAGACACTTTTTCAGTGACAATGAACCAACTCTGACACTCAAACACAACAGATATTCATCTGTGGCCCCTCAATACACATACACACACCCCACTCATATCACAGCACACACACACACCAGATCATCGGCCCCGTGTAAGAGCTGAGGCCATCCAGTCAGTTTAGATCCGTGGTGCTCAAACCTGATCATGAAACCTCTGGTATCAGGCAGATGTGCTTAATCAGATATAGGTGGTTGAAGCATAAGATGTTCTGAGCTTCTTATTAACCCAAAATATTTTTAAAATTTCAATTATATCAATCTATAAGGGAGTGTATCTTAGATCCTGTAACTGCTCACCAGTTCCACCAAGATTTTAAGACTCTCCACTAGCTATTTTCCCTTATCTCAAGTAATAAGCGACCATACAAACTGCAAGCACAATAATACCTACACAAGAAGGAACAAATGCTGTTTAAAATAGTTTAGATGGAGTGTATGTCACATGAAATACTTCCCAAACAGTACTTCATGACAACTAACCCATTAAGACAGTCAGACAGGCAGCTGTGTATTACATTAACGCATGTGTCATCATACACATACTGGTAAAAAATGTATAACCTGAATGCACTATAAGTCTGCTAAATGCATAAATTATTATTATTATTAATTATCATCATCATCATCCATAACTCTCTATCCATGTCTATATAACCCAACCACACTATTAATCCACCCAAAACCGCTACTTACATCCAGTTTCTTTCTTGATTTCTTCAATGTCCTCTTCTCTGAGTAAAGATGAAGCTCTGGAGCCCATGACTGCTGTTTCTCCTGTAGATCAGCTCGAGCTAACGCATGAAATTCACTCCTTATCACTAAACACAGAGCTCTGTAAAGCTGTCGGATGAACAGTCAGCCTGTCCGGCGTTATTAACCTCCAGCTTCTTAATTACAACCGGAACAGGCGAGATCCCAAACACATCTAGTTGAATAAAGGAAGAATTTGAAAGGCTAAGCTAAAGGTAGGTCGGTGAGGTCTACGTGACGTCTGCAAATGCGCGGTGGATACGCCTATAGAATAACGCGCTATGATTGGTCGGTGCGGTTGTCTGTCAAGTGAGTGGGATTTAAAGGGCCAGGCGTGTGATTTCTGCTGAGGGTGGAACACAAAATAATCCCTAAACTGAATAAAGCAAGGTAGAGTGACAATGAAATGGAGATGCCATATCAGAAAAATGCAACATTTACAAAATGAGAACAGCACAAAAGAACTGAAGGGTCATACAGAGCCATCCAAAAGACAAAACCATTGATGTGAAGAATCAAAACGTATTCTTTGTTTCTCTGTAATTTATATTCTTTTTGTCTTAAAGAAAGACATTTTAATTCCTGATAGTAGTACCTTTAAACTATGTGGCATTAAATAAATTTGCTTTTGTTGTTAAAAAAACCGAAGTATTATTATTATTAGCGTAAAATTTATTTATATACCATTCTAGTTTTTATTAATATATTTATACTTTGTTTTCATTTTCATTTTAGTTAAACATTTAGCAATTTTGTTATGTGCTATTGTAATTTTTTTTATTGTTAACTATTACTATTTAGGTTTAATAGTTTTTTTTCCCCCAGTTAGTAATGTTAGTGCTTAAACTTAAGAAAATGATAAATGTTGCCCAGACAATTAACTGAAATAAGTTAATAAGGTTTTTCATCTAATACTTATATTTTATTTCAGCTTTATTTCAATAAAAAAATGTTTTAATAGTTTTAGCTTAACCCTGGCTCAGACGCTTTAACTTTATTAATTATAGCTTGTGAGAAGAACACAATGGAAACAAAAAGCTAAAGTTAGTTTCTTAGAAAGAGGGCTTGGTAGTTGTCTTTCATGATGGTGTTGAAATTGAATGTTTATCATTACCACCATATGTTTATGGTTTACTGTTACAAATACTGATCTAAATGACATTCCACTTTCATTTCGACAAAGTATAATAGCAGCTTGAGCAATGAATAAGAAAGGTCTACTTATGAAAGGTCTAGGCATAGGGACTCTATAGGTACATGTCCCTACCAGTACCCAGTGACTACTAAATTGTCCCGAGCAATAATTTTGATCAAACAATTAGATATGTAACCACTGTTGTTGTCAATAGGTCATAGCACTGATATTATCTGAGAAGTTACAGTAAATATGCTAGAAAACCATGTGCTTTCAAGGACTTACATTTAATTAATGTGTGCATAAACTGAACATTCACTTCAATGGTATGAGATGACTGATGCTTTCAACTGATTTCCTATTGATTTGTCACCAACTGAACTGCAGTGGTCGAACTATTTAAAATATAGTGAATTAAGCAAACTCAATCACAATGTTTCCATCTAACATGCATTTTGAGGTGCAGCTCGTCATTTGAATGGAGTATTTTCACTGGTGAGCAGTATGGGGAGACCGGGGTAACACGGGTTAGTTTGAAACGCTTCCAATTTCTCCAAGTTACAAATCACCTGATTCACTTCACTCGCGCTTAGTTTAGTCCTTATTCCACATGTGATGAAGAAGATCCCTGGGGCAGACACAGCAGATTTTAGAGGGGAAAACTAATTTTGATTAAAGACAGTAACTTTTTTTTACTTTATTTTTGTGATGGGGATGCCTGCTTTGTTTAACTCATCAAAGTTAAATTATGGTTTTTGTTTGTCTGTGTAGATATTTTTAATGCAAGTTGTTAGTGCTTATGTTTTTGTGTTAGCTATAAGGTGAACTAGTTCATGGCTACAAGACTCTGGGTTAGTTGTAACATCAATGAAACATTTTACAACCTACCCCAGACAAATTTTAGTTGTAATAGTATGCTTTCCTTGAATTTCAGTATTGGCTACGTCTTTGAAGAGAAAGACAAACTGAGTGATATCTCTCAGCATTTTGAATGATATAACAGTAACAAACATGCTCACACACAAACAATGTTCCAGTGTTCAACTTCACTTTTATTATGGCTGATTGCCACTGACAGAAACTTGCATAGACACACACACACACACACACACACACACACACACACACTAAGTTGAAAAGTCAGTGTTGAATAAAAAAAAAAAAAAAAACTTTTTTTTTTTTTTTGGTCATAATCCTTAGTTCACAATGTTACATCTCACCCCCAGGGTAAATTACAACTAACCCGGACTATGGGGTGAATTGTAACATTTAAATCCTCATGTTAAAAAAACCCCGAAAGAACAAACAGTCACAGAAATAAATTTCTGTTTGTGCTGCAAATATTACAGCTGCGTCATGTAATAGCAGACACTTGTAACTAGTTTGTACCACATTTTGAATGCACTGGCTTCAAAGTACAGATACAAATTGAAATGTCAAAAATGTAACAACCATCCAAGGTCTCCCGGTTACCTCACCTTAATATGTCCGTAGATTTGTGTTAGATGTTAACTTTGGAATGTAAATATGGATATTTTATTTGTAAACATCACACTGCAGTTAATGAAAACTAGCGAGCTAAGCCGGTGTTCCGGTGAATTCAGTTTCCGTTTCCCCCTCACAGCGCCTGCGCAACTTCGCAGTGTTGCCAAGTCCGCGGGTTTCCAGCGGTAGTTTGTAGTAGCAATTGGGCGGTTTATAAAAAAATATCCTGGCAACCCTGAAACTTCAGTACTAAAATCATGACGTCATGATTTCGCCCCGGCTAAGCAAGTCAGCTTATGGTGGTTTTGCTGTCTTTCTGCAAGCAACGTTCATTTCACCATGTTAATTAGATCATTTGTAATCAAATACGTATTAATGTACGTGACGTCCTGTTCAATCGCAACATAGAGTCAGATTTCCCTGCTAATTCTAACGTTTGCCTGTTATGAAGTGTAACACCATTCATTACAATTAGACAGTTAAATTCCTTCGTCAGGGGCATTCTTTTGTTCAGACGCCCATTTCCATTTTATTGTTATTGTTGTTGTTAGTGTGTGTGTGTTTCTGTTAAACAACTTAAGCCTTGTCGAAATAATAACAAATAAACTATATTGCACAATGACTAGTCTCTCTTTTATTATTTTAGGTAACTCAGAGTGATGCTCCTGATGTGTTTTTAAAATATCATAATTACGTCTAACCACTTTTCTCTGCAGTTTACACTGAAAACACAGGGGGAACAGATTTTTCCAGAGGCCTGAGAAAATTGTAATTGGTTCCCTCCCAGTATATTACCTTCTGAGGATTTATAGATCCAAGATTTTTATTTGTCGCATACATGGTTATATAGAGCAGTGTTTCCCAACCTTTTTTTAGTAGCGGCACCCTTTGGAAATTTTAACAAACTTGTGGCACCCTACAAAATTAATTTTGTCACAATATTTGAATTTCTAACTTCGATATGATAATTTGAAAAGTGTAGAGAGGGGGGGGGGGGCAATTTTCTCAGGCCTCTGGAAAAATCTGTTCCCCTGTGTTTTCAGTGTAAAGTGTTCTGCAGATAAAAGTGGTTAGACGAGGAATGTTGTGGTTAGGACGTTGAAATGACGGCTATTGCTTGCTGGGTAGCCACGTGCGACTGTCTGCCGGGTAAATGCAGGCCTCGGCCCAGGGTTTAAAACGGTACGCTTTGTATTACAAGTCATGCAACCACTCAACTCATTTCTTGGCAGGAGGAGACATTTGCTCTTTAACTGAGCCTGCCCAGCAAGCAATAGCCGTCATTTCAACGTCTCGGTTAAGTATAGACCTGATATAGTCCGGCTATGTGTAACCCACTTATAAATTGGACGGGCTATGTCTAGTCTGCTTTTAGCCCACCTGGAGAAATCGAGGCAATATGTGGTCTAATTTTAACGGCTTGGCTATAGCCCTATACCAGTAACCAGACCAGCGACGAGCATAGCCAAAATAGCCTTAAAATTGTTTACATGTAATTTTCGCCCACGCAGGTTCTTATCAAATGCAAGTAAACTTTTGAATAATTTAAATTAGTATTATTTTATATTTTATTTAATTATTTTACAGCATTATTAATGAATGAATGAATGATGCATTTATATAGCACTTTATTGTGTATTGTTGTACACCCAAAGCGCTTTACAATCATGTAAAAGCGTGATTATTAAATATAGCATTATTTATTATGCCAAAAATAATGCTAATTTAAATGTTTCAAA